CCCCCTACCTCGGGCCTCGCCCGCTACAACGGCCCCGCCTGGCTTCGAGCCCCGCTCGGATACAGATCTGTTTACTTAGGCCTCGCCTGTCACAGGCCCTCGCCCGCCAACAAATAATAACACATAAACATTTCACAACACATAACTAACACATACAACTGGTTCTGTCATAAGGCCTCGCCTATTCTGGGCCGCGCCCATGTCCTGCTATAGATGAGTCATGGGACCCCGTCCATGCTCCTAATGGTAGTGAGGTACGGGCCTAGCCCACTCTCACTCCTGTTCTAATTCGGGCCTCGCCCCTACTCTGCTACTAATGAGATATGGAACCCCATCCACACTCTGCTATTGGTGAGATACGGGACCTCGCCCACACTCACCTCCCTACCAGGCACATACATGTATCACACAGACAATAGGTATAAACTATCATATAAACAATTCCTTGGGCACCCACCCGCTATTACTGGACCTTGTCCTAAAAATAATACTAGCATATTGTGCCTAGGGCTAACCCCCGGGTCTTCTACTCATAACTACATGGGCCGACATTGTGGCCTTAGACCCATTCACACAAAGGGAAACTCACCTGCACTGGCTGAACTTGCTGATGATCTCACTAGTTGCTGCCCGACAACTCACGAAACTCCTGCTCCCCTTGCCCCCCGAACTACCAATATCAATGCAACACTAAGCCTAACTAACCCCCGAAAGACAACCAAGTCAACCCTGGTCCAAGGTCAAAGTCAACCTACCAGGTCAACCCTACTCGTCGAGTCACCCTACTGACTCGCCGAGTTCAAAATGATCAGATTCCTTCCATTCGCGACTCGACTCGCCGAGTCAGTCCATGACTCGCCGAGTCTACCGATTTTTGAGTCCAGACCTGTCCAATTCACCGAGTCTCCACCTGACTCACTGATTCGAGTCTCAACTCGAAGGGGTTTGGGGTTTCGCGACATGACTCGCCGAGTCCAAGAACAGACTCGCCGAGTCCAAGAACAGACTCGCCGAGTACAAGGCAATCTTCATACGACTCGACGAGTTGTTCATCCCACTCGTCGAGTTTCTCCACAACTTCATGCTACTCGCCGAGTCCACTCAAAGGACTCGAAGAGTCCCTTCAGTTCTCCTTACATGCAGAGGATTTTAGAGTCATGCATGGACTCCAAACTGTAGATCTACCCTTCCCAAGCCTATTCCACACGTAAAGTTGCAAACTTTACGTGTAGAGAAGGAGATATAGGCAAAATATGCCATAAACTAGGGTTTAAGGCCAAGGGGCTTCAAGATCAACTCAATGGCTGTTACTTTATGCTTCTCCAGAGCATAACACACTTGGATCTGAAGTAGCAACTCCAGATCCGGCTTCTAACCCATAAGGGTGGCTAATCATGGCTTAAAAGCCCCAAAACTCACAACCAAGATTTAATCTAAGGGAAGGAAATGACTTAATACCTTCAATACTTCAGAAAGGTTCCACAAACTCCAGATCTGAAGCAATCCTTGAAGCTTTACTGATTCCCTTCCTTCTTCTTCCTTCAAATTACCCAGAAATGGCTTGGAAGCTTGAATGTACAACAATGGAGGCTTAGGCTTTGTTTTCTGAACAAGGGAGGCTCTAAGGAACCCTAATGGAGAGAATAAGAAGCTTACATAGCGCCCAAAGTACCGGATTTAGGGTTTTCCTCGCACAGACCATACTCGCCGAGTCCACTTGGCCGACTCGCTGAGTTGGCCACTTACACCTTGACCCGGATCCCGCTCGGACTCGCCGAGTCCCTCCCTAGACTCTCCGAGTCGACCCTTAAAATTAGGGCTTTTCTTTCCCTTTTTGGCCTTTAAAACTTTGGGTGTTACACATGAGTATCGATATAAACATTATCGGGTTTGTTGACTAGCAGCACAGTCTCAACCCAACCACACTACATCAACACATGCTACTAGAAACATATAGCCAGAACAGATAACAAGCAAATCTAACAGATAACGAAGCATAACATCATCCTATCTACCAGGATACGATCTAACAGATCATAACAACATAACAAGCTCCTATTTACCAGGATACCGATCTAACATATCATAACAACGTACAATTATACTATAACCAGGATAATAATCCAAAGGGTCGGCCTTGGTGCCTTCGACCACTTAGTACAATGAAGAAAACTCACATTGCGTTGCCGAAACATGCAGACGATCACTGATCGCTGACTGCCAGATCCCGAACCATCATCATCAAGACATCACCCCATCAATAGCTAATTCCATGAATATTCTCTAGCTGCAGATCCACCAGTAGATACCAAAATGACAACCATCAGCATCTAGTCACTGACTCATATAATGAATCCATATCAGGGTAAAAGACCTTTTTACCCTTCCTCAAGCTTGGCCTAAAGCCAATGCCCAAACTAGATGACAAAAGGTCTAATATCAAAATAAACTCCTTAAGTCCAGTTATGGCCCAATTTTCCAAATTGGGCCTAATGGCCTTCACTCAAGAAGATTCAGCAGTGAAAGGCCCAAACCACTTCAAGCACACACTTGGCCCACTTTTCCAAATTGGGCCTTATCGAAAGGTCTGATCCTCTACTTGGCCTAAGACACACCCATCCAGATAAACTATTAGGACCTAAGTATCAAAGCCCAAAAGATGGCCCAATACCCGAACCCCAAAGTTCGAAAATCAAACAGGGGACGTACGTGAGGCGTACCTTACCTTGCATTGACCCATTACGGGGGTTTGACTCCAAATGCGGGGCGTATAGAAACTTACGCGGGGTGTACTCACGTATGACTTAAAACTTCCATAAATGCTTAATGGATTAAGCACTTGAGCTCAAACTTCAGATCCATTACTCAAATGTGCTCTAGAACCATAAAGTCTCAAACTTTAAGACTTTGGTTAACTAAAAAGGGCTTAATACATGGTCTTAACCCATTAAGACCTCCTACAAAGAACTAGGGACCAAACTAGCTCAAGGGACCTCATTTTTATGCCTTAGGACCCATCGTAAGGTCTAAAAGGACAACTTAACTCGACCAAAGCAAAGCATGTACAATATTGGGACTCTTGGGACAAGAAGGATACCAAAAAGTAACCAAAACAAGATCTACACAATTCAAGCATAAAGGTAGAAGCTTTATACCTTCTAAAGTTCCCCAAGATAGTGATAACCCCATATCTAGAAGCTTGATTCCTTCCTTGACTCCTCGAACAAATAGACTTAAAGCGTAAATTGAATAATTTATGAAATGAAAGTGTTTCTTATGTTAATAAAATGAACATAATTCATTCTAACAAACCAAGTACAAAGAACAAAACCATGAAACCATTAAACGATTAAGTTTAAAAAAAAAACTTGAATTCATGAGACCAATTAAGAGAAACATTTACAACAACTAATGAAACTTGCTACAAACCATTAAATGGTTGAATCATTAGTTCCATTTACCACGTCTTTTTCTCTTATTTGATTTCGACAACAATTGATGTTTCTTTTTTTCTTTTTCTTTTTTTGATTTGATTTACAAAATACTCAACAACTCAAATGATTAAAGCCCAATCAAACTTCAAAAATATAAAATGTTTTTTAAGATCATATCGACATCGACATAGTAGACTATTTAACTATCAAACTTATTAAATCTATCTTTATTTTATAAGATTTTGAATTTAAATCCTTTTAAAAGCCTTTAAATACTATAATCCATGTTCCACCTTATAAGATTTTTAGCGTAACGAAATAATGTATATATCAAAACCAAATCACTTTTCAAATTTAATTGTTTCGCAAGTACTTTGCATCATGTGTCGACGTCCCTATCAAAATCTTATAGAATTAATCGTATCGCATAGCCATAAGGCACCAGTGGTCTAGTGGTAGAATAGTACCCTGCCACGGTACAGACCCGGGTTCGATTCCCGGCTGGTGCATTTCTTTTTCAACAAAGCCACGTGAAGAACCTTGTTGCGCATATGAGCTTTGTTTAATTTGGTTGCTTTTTTAAATGTTTACAAAAAATATATATATTAAAACTTACCACGTAAATTACTTAATTTTCTTTTGAAGTTATTCATATAACATTTGGATAATATTGTATTTATTGAATATCATCGTAACAATATTGTACTACGTGTCTACATATAAAAACGAGCATTTTCCTACAAGTTTATATTAAAAATTTGGAAGTAGCATATCACTAAGTTGTAAATGCAAACTATCTTTGAATCACCAGAAATCTGAGAGACAAACTCTAGTGTGAGAATGTGAGATTGAAAGAATTTTAGACATCAAAGTTACATAAGATTGATGGTGAAATGCTAAATACTAAGTATTATTTTTGTGAGCGAGTATAATACTTTATATTTTTATGACTTATAATTATACTCATGACTATTCATTATTTGATGTTTTTTTTATCAATATCATTTATTTGCAAAATCCCACTTGATGGTTGCATAACCATTTTTGAGTTTCAATGACAGCGACAGAAATATGTCACGAGAAAAACCTTGTCATTAAATGTTAGTGACGGACAGCTTGTAGCAAATACTTTGGGCTTTTGTTGCAGTTCCATCTCTAATCTATTGCTGATTTTGATGTCGTTTTCTCTGAAAACTAGGTCTGGTTCCCGACAAACAAGAAACAATTGGAATCTCTTTTATTCACAAAATTCTGAATCCAAAATAAACTGTCGCTCCTAACCAGAATCAAGAAAATTAAAAGCCAAGACAGATTCTCCAATGTAGGAACTAAATAAGGAAACGATATACTTGAAAATAATAGATAAAGCTTAAAAAAATAAACTAGTATTGAGAATCCAGAATTAAACCATCTTCAAACGGGTCGTTTATTGGGACAAACCGGGTCCATTTGCATCAGATTTATTTCTGAATGGACAATTTTTACCTAAAAATCATAGTCATAGTTGCTAATATAATTAACGATAATTGATTAGGTGTCGACTAGGTTGCTATTCCATAACCATAATTCACAAATGAAATTCAAATTTTATTCCCCAAAATCAAAACAAAACATTAACATTCGACTACCAAAATAAAGTTCAATATCAAAGTATTGAAAGTTTGAAACCAAATCACAAAAAAACTAAAAGTGTCAAAGTCTAACTAGATGGTAGGTTTCCTTGGTTGAGCTTTATGATTTCGTTATACATTTTGGCGATTTCTTGTTTTTTGGCATCAATTTCATCATACAACTTGACGATTTCTTGTTTTTTCGCATCTGTCTTAAGCTCTTCCTTAATTTCCTTACGAACACGATCTACAATAACCTACACAAACAACAATAACCAAGTTTACACCTAATTAAACATCAAAACATAACATTCAGTTAAAACAATGTACTTTCAACTTGAATTCCGAAAACCAAGGGTGTTTATAGTTTAAATCAAGATGTAACAAAGTGAGAAAGACATGTATAATAGGTAAATGGTGAAGAAGTGAAAACAAACCTCTATGTTGTCTAGTTTTGTACTTGGGGCTGCTTGACAAGACACCAACAACCTGTGTGGATCAGTTACACACCGGTTAGTGATTAACAAACAAAACTACATGTTTTGTTTCACTCCCGGGGAAAAATATAATAATATAATTTCATGTTTTCTGGTAGTGGTACCTTTCATCCTGTGGTTTAATTGTCGGGAAAAGGATAACTTCCTGTTTTGTTTACCCAAACATTAACAACATTTAAAAACCAAAAAACTAACGAAAAAAAAAAATGAAAAAAAAATAGACACAAACCTTGATGTTCAGTGAATCGGTCAACAACATAGTAAGACGGTCAACACCCAAACCCCAACCGCCAGTTTGCGGCAACCCATATTCAAGAGCCGTACAAAACGCCTCATCCAAAGCCATCGCTTCATCATCTCCCGATTGTAGATCCTAATATTTTTTGAAACAATGAGTAAATAAATAAAAATATATTCACAACGTTTTTATCTTCCTCGGCATATTAAAAAAAAACACCTTTAATTGATCTGCAAATCGTTGGCGTTGTACCACTGGATCATTCAATTCGGTGTACGCATTCGCAAGCTAACAAAATAAAAACAAAAGATAAAAAGAATTATTATTATAAAATAATAATAATAATTAGAGTACTGTATGTTGATACCTCGTGCTTGTTGATGAACAATTCGAAACGTTCAGTCAAGCCTGGTTTGGATCTGTGCCATTTGGCCAAAGGACTCATGATTTCCGGATGATCCATTATGAAACAAGGATCAACACATGTCTCCTCCAAAAAATGTCCCACAAGCTGACAAAACACGATATACCACAAATTCAAGTTACAATAATTACCAATAAATAACAATGTATGATCGAATGAATTGGTTTGGATGTTATTTAAAGATGGATCATGCATGCATGCATGGGGGATTAATATTCGTACTTTGTCTAGTAGACGTGCGGTTGTTTGGGGTGGAGGACATTTGATTTCAAATTTTGCACATGCACCCGCAAGATATTTATTGGCTTCATCACTTGCTAGGTCTTTGGGTATGTTAAGATTACCCATTTTTTCCAACTCTCCAATCATATCAATCCTTCTGAAAAAAAATTCAATTATCTTCATGTTACAAAAAGCAGTTTCACTTCAAGTAAAATCAATAAAACAACATTTGCTATTTAATTCTTGCATCAAACCTAAACTCAATAATTATATATATAATCTAGTAAGAAAATGACCTGAAAGGTGGGGTAAAGTCTTTCAATGGGATCATTCTCATACCCATTCGCATGGTATTTAACTTTGTAGCCACCTGTTAGCTCCTTCACCATGCCTAATTCATCAATCGTTATACTTTAGCATAATTTGTGTATATTTGGTACCTAAAACTTTTTTTTTTTCAATTTTGGTCCTTACGTAAAATTGAGATCAAGAAGCCTTAATTCAAGAATCAAAACTCAAATAAGTTTCAGTTTTGGACAAAACACAGAATAAATAAATAAATCATCAATGTAATCTACTCTAATTAAAATAAAAATTCGAGCTTAAATAATTACCACTTAACAATTATGCAGTTATCTCCATCAAGTCATAGTAGTCAGCATAAGCCATATAAAATTCACAAGTAGTAAACTTTAGATTATGTGTCAAATCAATCCCTTCATTCCTAAACTGTTTTCCAATCTCATAAACACAATCATGTCCACCAACAACAAGCTTTTTTAGATAAAGTTCAGGGGAAATTCTCATAAAGAGTCTCATATCCAAATCATTGTGATGTGTCACAAATGGTCGGGCAGCTGCCCCACCAGCAACCGTGTTCAACATCGGAGTTTCAACCTTCAAATTTCAATAACAACAAATATAATTAATTACCAATTAACAAATTAAAAAAAATGTATGACTAACTAATGGCTTTACTTTACCTCCATGAAATCAAGATTCTTAAGAGAGCTTCTGATGTATTCCACGATTTTTGCACGGGTATCGAATATAAATCTCACTTCTGAATTTACCATTAGATCCAAAGGGCGTTGGCGATATCATGTTTCCTAGAATAAAAAATAATTAAATTTAAAAGGTGGAGAAATGAATATTGAATATATATACCTGATCTTTTAATACATATGCATCAGGATTTATGCCGCTTCCTGAAATCCAAGCATGAGTTTTCTGTAACAATTACACATTACTAAACAAGGGTAAATTCGTACATACATTGATATTAACAAAATTTACCTTCACATTGCCTTTTTGCCTTGGCATCATATGAAGACAAGGAGTTAACACGTTAAATGTTTTTGGGAAAATACTCAGCTCTCCCCTATTGCTTTTTCCTGTTATAATAAAAAAGTTAGAAGAAAAAAACAAATCAAATTTTCAAAAGGAAACACAATTTGCACACCTGGAAACCCAACAATACCAACTACATCTCCACATTTCACACTAGAATGAAACTTGGAAAATTCGGCTTCACCCAAATCAGATCTCCTTCAAAAACAAAGATAGATTTTAGAGTTAATTAAAACGACAAAAAGTCGAAAACAAAAGTAATCTGCATTTTGAGGGAAATATTAAATTTAATTTGTGTCACCTTGCATCGGCCATAACTTGCACTTTCGTATCTTTGATGCCATGAAGATCATAAAAGAAGAGCTTTTCTGCAGAAGCCCGTTTGCTTATAATTCACCCTGGAAAGAGGACAACAATTATCAGCATCAAGATAAATTAAAAAGGAAATTAATTAAGTCTATGTGTATATATTTTTATGTTTGTATTCAATGGGACCCACACCCACCTGATAAAGATACTTGAACATCCTCCACATACTCTCCACTGTTTAAGCTTTCATATTTGTTTATGAATTCAATAATGGACATGGAGACATGGAATTTGTGAGGGTAGGGGTTCAATCCTGTTGCCTTCTGGACAGCAAGTGTTTTCAGGCGATTTTCAAGAAATTGCTGCAACAATCATAATCAATTGTATTATATATAAAGAGAATATGATCTTAAAATACACATTAGAACCAATAATTAAGACAAGAATTAATTAATTAACTATACCGTTGGATCCACGTCCTCATCATCTGCAGTAGACTGCTTCTGGACTTGTGATTTTGGCATGGCAGCAGCCTGTAAATTAAAACCACCACAATGACAAGATTATTGTTAGGTTTAAATTTAATTTTAAAACAAGCGTAACGTTAATTCACCTTTTTCTCCTTCTCATGATTCTTAAGACGCCTCTTTTCCTCCTTCTCTTTGTTCTTCAGCTCCTTCTTTCGAGCACTTGGTCAAAATCAAACACAAAATATTAAATCTTAGAATCTCTATTCATGCAAGCAAATGTTATAATAGTAAATGATTGCTGCTAGAGGGAATGAAAAGTTGAAAACTCACTTCTTGCTTAAAACCTCAGACTCAGAGTTGTTGATTGAGACGTGATCAGCAAACTTAGCATCCAAGTCCGCATTGTAGGTGAAGATTGTATGGAAGAAGACTCTGTAATTAATTAATGGCGTTTCAGTTTTGGAAGAGATCGAGATCTTAACTCTTTTTAACAATTAATCAAATACATCCGTTTACAAGAGGAACACCGATAGACGGGGGACTTACGTGTTCAGAAGGGTCGAAAGCGGTATACTCACTGCAGGTTGCCGCCGATGAAGACGATCGATAGTTGATGGATACAATATATATGATATACACCTTATTAATATTGCTTACTCTCCAAGTTATTATTGCTTTCTCTGCAAATCACACGCTTCAAAAAAAAAAAAAAAAAAAAAAACGGAATATTTTTCTCATTTATTTCCATATCCTTTCAATTAACTTTTATTTAATAACAACTACTAATTATAATTTATAAAATTTTGTAACATCATCAATAGTTTATATTAATAGGCTGCCGGTATGGAAGGTAGGAGACACGTAGGAGGATGACTTGTCAACTCCCAAGATGCGTGAACACCGCCCTCATCTCCAGTGCTTTGACTGTGGCGTGACGTGGAGACGGACTGAGACGAGTGATCTGATTGGTTATTCGCTTTGTTGACCGTTTGCACCATACGACCGTTGATATATTAAAGACACTTTTTCAACACAAACACACATATTCACCAAAAAATACTCATTTCTCACATTTTTATGGATCCAAACCAAAATATCCCAAACTCCTCAAACACTGTAAATGATCCATTAACAAATCTTAGCTACATACAATTAATAACATTTCTAATTCAACAACCTATATTCATCAATCTTCCATACAACCCACACTACTACCAACAATAACAACCACCACAATTCAATCAACCCTAGTTTCAAGTCTTTCAACAACAACCTTCTCCGCAATTTCAACCCCAAACTTTCCAATGTCAACAAATTTCACAACCATCTCAAGTTCCATTATCTCAACATATAAACCTCGACAATGACGACGACGAACGGGTTGAAGAAACACAACCACGTCGTAGAAGGCAAAAAAAAAATCAAAAGATCCAAGGAAAAAGAAAAGTAGGCAATGGACCGAAGAGAAGGAGGCAACTTTAGCTAAAACTTGGATTTTCATATCACAAGACGCGGATGTCAGCAACGCGCAAACGGGTCAAACCTTTTGGAATCGTATTTTAGACCACTTCCACGCATTATTAGAAAGCCAAAAGAGTCAGACATATGACTCGGTGTGAAGAAACGAGAGATTTGCGCCTCTATTTATAGATTGAGAAAATGGATTATGCAGGCATACATAATGGGTATGTTGGGCGTACTGCTTGTTATGCTGGGCGTAACCCTTCCAAGTGTCATAATCTTGTGCAAAGCCGTGGGGAGGAAGGTATGGCCGGGATTGTGCCACGTGTCGCTTCGAAACTTAACCCATAATTTAATTTTCTTCCAAATTCTTTAACTTTCGCATACGAGTTCCGTTTTTGATGTTCTTTATATCCACGCGTAGCTAGAGAAGTGATCTACAACTTTAGTTTAGACTCCGTCGGCTAATACTGACTTTATTTTTAAAGTTATATTTTAACAGGCTTAGACAGTTAATATCCGTTAAAAATTCATAACTTTGTCATCGACGTCCGTTTTTGACGTTCTTTATATCCACGCGTAACTAGAGAAGTGATCTACAACTTTAGTTTATACTCCGTCGACTAATATTGACTTTATTTTTAAAGTTATATTTTAACAAACTTAGACAGTTAAAGTCCGTTAAAAATTCATAACTTTGTCATCGACATCCTTTTTCGTCTATCTTTATATCATTGAGCTCCTATTAACGAGATCTTCGATTCTCGTTTAGGTTGTGTCGGCTAAAAATCGATCGATCTAAAATACAATTTTCGGGCTATGTACTGTTATGCAAATTCTTAGAAAAAATCATAACTTACTCATACGAAGTCAGATTTGGACGTTCTCTATATGCACGATTTCGGTTTAGCGTCTACTACGGCTTTCTTCTAGATTGCTATGGCTAAAAAGTAGCTTATCAAAATTACACTTTTTACATTACGTGGAGCCATGCCGGTTTAGTCGGAAAACTTCGACGGGTTATAACTTCTTCGTTAGAAGTCGGATTTCAGCGTTCTTTATATGTACGGAATCCTTGTGAATATACTATAACTTTGGTTAAGATTATTTACTCTAAATAATCTTCTATCAAAAAGTCATTTTAACGCTATTGTCTCTAAATTGACTAGCCCGAATCTGCGGGTTTTACAATTATCTCCCCCTTAGGATGATTACGTCTCGGAATCAACAACGAAACAAGGCTTGTATAATGAATCCTACATTATCTTTTCATCCTAGGTAATAATCGTAACTCTTATGTCCTTTCAAATGAATATCTAATTCTTGGACTTCTTGACTGCTCGCGGTGCTCAATTTTGCACCTGCTCTTTGTACTATGTTGGACTTTCAATTACCATCATAAACCGATGGGTCATGTTCTAATGACCTCACGTTGTATGATGCAACGCGTAGACTCAAGTATATTAGAGTCAAATTCCAGAATGGAATAAACCTCCCTTCATGTTCTAATGTGATACAATCACTTTCTAGCATGTAGAACTTCTAGCTACATGATTCTTACCTTAACAACGATTGTGATATTTCTATTGATCGATTTGATTATCTTTTACTTCAATCTTTTGTCTTAAGTCGGATGCTACGTTGATCTTGGCTATCTGAACCACGTAACATACTTATCTTAATCGGACTCGATTTGAAATAACCACTATTGTCGGAATAACAATCATCTTCTTAATTATTACTGAAACGATGGGAATGACAAACATGAACAAAGCGGAATCAATTATTTTTCCGCAACTAAACGCACACTAAGGGTGCGTTTGGTAGTGGAAATTTCTTTCATTTTCTAAAAAAATGTTTTCAGAAAATAGAGTTGAGTTTTCATTTTCAATTTTCAACGAAAAATTTAGAAAACGCATTTGGTTGAAACCGGAGGAGTTTTTATTTTCCATCTTAGAAATTTGGAAAACTGTAAAAATCACTTTTTTAATTTACATACAATTTGAAAAAATGTAAATTTTCATTTTCTTGGAAAATTATGGAAAACTGAACGAATCAAACGTGTTTTTAAAATTTCCGTTTTTCTTGGAAAATTTTCCTAGAAAATTGAAAATTTTTTCTACAACCAAACGCACCCTAAAGGTGCGTTTGGTTGTGTAAAATTGTATTCATTTTCTAAAAAAAATGTTTTCAGAAAATAAAATTGAGTTTCATTTTCAATTTTCAATGAAAACGCGTTTGGTTAAAACTTGTGAAGTTTTCATTTTCCATCTTAGAAATTTGGAAAACTATAAAAAAATCACTTTTCTAATTTACATACAATTTGGAAAACTGAAAATTTTCATTTTCTTGGAAAATTTTGGAAAACTGAACGAACTAAACGCGTTTTCAAAATTTCCGTTTTTCTTGGAAAAATTTCCTAGAAAACTGGAAAATTTTTCACAAAGGCACTTCAAGTATTTTGGTTTTCTTTTTGCTACATTGGTCCCAGGTTGATGTAAGTCTCATATATGAAGGCTTTTGGATGTTAGAATGCATATATGGTATTCCTAGAATCACTACAAGAAATAAATCCTTTAGCGGCGATACTATTAGCGGCGACTATTGGCTTTACCGGCGACTCTAGCTAGAGTCGCTGATAAAGCCAATAGTCGCCGCTAATAGTGTCGCCGCTAAAGGGTTGTCACCCGAATCCGCACTTTCCCCCTACATTGCATCTCAACCGTTCGATGAGATATCCAATCCAACGGGTGGGGTGCCTTATCCGGTCTAACCTAATACCGGCGACACGCATGTCGCCGCTAAAACTCTAAAAAGTCGCCGCTAATTGTCTGCTAAAAATGACGTGGTACCCTTCCCTCCAGTTTGTCGCCGCTATTAACAATTGTCGCCGGTATTGACCCTCGTGTCGCCGCTAATGGTGTCGCCGCTATTGATGATCGCAGATAAAAAAAAAATGCACGCAGATTACAGTTCCTTCTTCATTTCCCTTTCTGTTTGCTTCGAGTTCCTTCACCATTTTTCCGATTTCTTCTTCAATCTGCTTCTTTCAAGCAAATTTCTCCCCTCATTGTTCCAAGCAAGTGTCCCTAGGTGTGGTTAAAGCTTTGGGATCAATTTCTACCTCCATTTCTTGAAGAAAGGTAAGTTTTATTTTGATGATTTCATTTTTGTGTTGTATGAATGATAATAAATTGCTCATGTTCTTTATTTTTGGTGGTGTTGTTTTGGATTAGAAGCATTGTTCCAAGCAAGTGGTTAAAGCTTTGGGATCAATTTGTAGGTGCCTCCATTTGTTGAAGAAAGGTAAGTTTTTTTTTATGATTTCTTTTTTATTTTGTATGAATTTTGATTTGTAGCTTTATGTAGTGATTGAATGATAATAAATTGTTCATATTTTTGTTTTTGGTGGTATTGTTTTGGATTAGAAGCAAGTTATTCAATTTTTTGTTTGTGGTTATTTAATTGCAATTAGTTGTATAGCTTCAAGTTGTATTTATATGTGAAATTATGTGATAATTGTCATATGTGAAAATTGGATTGTATATTTTGTATTTGTTTGAATATATGTGAATTTGGTATATATATTCCAATGTATGTGTGTTTGATGTATATGTGGTATATTAGTAGAAGTTATATGTATTTGTTATAAGTAGAATGTTATTGTGTGTATGTGAATGTATGTATGTTTGTTGTAAATGTGATATATGATTGTGAAACTTTTGTATTTGGTATAAATAGGATGTTATTATGTATATATGTGAAATTATGTGTATTTGGTTTAAATAGGATGTTATTTTGTGTGTATTTGTATTTGATGTATATGTGGTATATGTATGTAAAAGTATGTGAATTTCACCTTCTTATGTATTATGTAAAACTATGTGGTTTTGGTATAAGTAGGATGCTATAATTGAAATAAAAAAAATACATTATTTTTATAAATTGAAAAAAAAAAACACAAAAAAAAACTATAAAATTGTTTAAAAACTTATATACAAAAACTAGAAAGCTTCTAGTTTTTACCCAAGCTAACTCCAAATTAATTAACCAATAAGTTATATAGTTAACTTATAATCGGAAAAAAAAACAAAAAAAATTATAAAAATCTTTAAAAACTTATATACATTTTAATCTCGACGGTAAAAAAAAACACAACAACATAATACGTATGTAAAATATGTGGTTTTCTTATAAGTAGGATGCTATAATTGAAAAAAAATACATTATTTTTATAAATTGAAAAAAAAAAACACAAAAAAAAACTATAAAATTGTTTAAAAACTTATATACAAAACTAGAAAGCTTCTAGTTTTTACCCAAGCTAACTTACAAGTAATTTTAATTAAAATTAATTAAAAAAATGCATAAATAAAAATTTTTAATTTATTTTTTTCATTTCTTTATTACTTAATTTTTGTATTATTTTAGATGTAAAAAAATGTGGATTGAAAAAAAACAATGCTAATTCTGTATACTAAACTTTAAACCCAAAATTATGTTTCAGCAACATCATGTCTATTGATAAAAGCTGGAC